AGTGGTATAAACAAAAAGAAAATGACCAACGTTATCCTGCAAGAAGAAACTTACAGCGTTTACCGAGAACCAGGACAAATTACGGAAAGCAAACACTGCATTACCAATCAACGCGAATAGTAAATGAAGTCCAAAATGGCTTGCAGTTTGACGTCAGCCTAGGGACATTTAAAAAACAAGTTAAAGAAATTTTGATCAAAAAAGAAATAACTTATCATCACTAATCTATATTGTGTAAAAAGAGTAGGTAGAATGTTAATATTAAGAAAGTAAGTAGTTCATTATGGTATACGATGCATCCATTTTATGTTCCTGCATCTGTATTATGCTAAGTGTATTATATGTTGCTTGTTCTTTTTTATTCCTGTATTTCTTTCGTTAGCGCTCATGTGGTACATGACATGTTAGTTTTTGTTGCTTGTTTGTATCTGCAAAAAAAAAAAAAAAAAAAGTGCATCTGTGACGAACTACAGGTGCAGAGGCCTTTGTCAGGCGTATGAAACGCCTTTTGCTTCTGTATCCTTTTTCTTGCCTTTCAAGAAATAAAATAAATTACTACTACTACTACTAAAGGATACGCGATGGTGGTAGTTGGAGTTTTGAATAGATAGACGAACGGACCCACAGACAGATGCATGGACGGACGCACGCATGGCTTCGCGGACGGATGGACGCATAGAAGGACGCAGAGGTGGATATATGGACGAACGCAGGGATGTACGCACGGACGGGCAGACGGACGCACGGACGTTACACCGACGGAAGCATGGACGGACGGAAGCAAGAACGAATGAACGAACGGATGCTTCGCCCCACTCTCTATCATTCACCCCATAGATGTGCTGCCATTTTTTTCCCTGACCAGAACTACCACACAAACTTATATCTAGAAATATGGCAGATGTACACTGGCTCTTTTATGCCAGAATAATGTGGTGAACAAGGATCTCTCACATTTTACATTTCAAAATTTTTGTTTCCTTCGGTGTTACCTTATATAGGTGTTCCTATACTGGCCTTGTTTCTTCGTACTTTAATATACGTTGTAGGATAAATTTCAGCTTTTACAGAGAAAGCTGTTATGAGATCACAACCCAGGTGACCTGTGGCGCCGTAGTGTTCCGCCACAGCCACCGCCATTGCTCGTAACCACTATCGCACGAAATAATAACTCTGTAAATAGAAAACACCACGTGCACTGCGCAACTCAAGTCCGGGTCCTTTGCGTGTCTGCCCAGTATTCTACTAATGAGCCATGCCGGTGCTTGTAAATGCCTTGAAAACTTGAATTAGACAGGCTTGATGCCAGAAGAGGATCGCCGTAATATGAGTAATAAAGCGTTTTAGAACAGCAAAGGAACAACCAAGCACCGCACTATGCGAATCGCGTAACGAGTGGATCGTCTATTGCTCTAAACCATTACAAAAGCTTAGTTTTGATCACCTAATAACTGTGGCGCATACCCACTTCATGCCTAATTCTTCATCGTCGTCAGTCACTATATGAAATATTAGCACAAAATCCCTTGCAAGTGCGCAGCGCATACCACGCTTTTCAAAGAATGACGAAGTTAATGACGAAATGGCACAGCAAATGCCAGCCTACTACACACAAATTATGACTATTTACGGTTTAGTGGGCACCCAACAAGCGTGCTAGTAGCAGTTACGCATACAGTGTACAGAAAAATCACTGAAAGGCCGCGCTTCCAGCTTTCGCAGTGACTGTGCTGCGTGTTCCGCGAAAGCTTGGCAATTTTTTCTGGTGTTTCCGCGGGAAAAGAAAGAAGGCTGATGAATGGAGAAAAGGAGGCAGCCATATCACAAAACAGGAGGTCAAAATAAGCGCCCCACTTTCTTGCTGCGTTTCCTTTTCACACAGTAAGTGTTAGCACGGGAAGAAATGCTACCTCGGCTTCTAGCTCCACGTGCAGCCAACCATGCACTTTCGACAAGTGTTATAGTAGCTACAGCTGCCGCAACACTACCGCAATTATCGCCTGTGAATTTCTAAAACTGACATCCAATCAGCTCTTCTTCGTCACGCACAGTACGTGGTCGGTGACAAGCAAGCCTGCTCCGAGAGGGCTGCGGTTACGTACGTTGGTGGCATTTAGAGCTTTTGCCAGTCAACGTACCAATCGCTCTGGTCTCAACTCAGTATAAGTCATTCTTGGAAAGCGTTGAACTGGCCGAGTATGGAATGCACATCGCTCCCGCAGCCATCAATTCTTCTGTAATTGTACAGTTTCCAAAGTATATTTTGATCTTGGAACAGCTGAAAGAACTCCCTTCTCAAACAGTTCAGCTGCTGCAGGAGCTTCCGAACAATCATGGCATCCACGAGCGACCCGAATAAATTCATTAGCGAGCTCTCACGCCGCCTTCGACGCAACGGCCGTTTCATAAACCTGATCACAGTTTTTTTTATTACAAGGCTTGCGCTACCACGACTGCTTCTTCAAAGCACCGACTACGCGTGTGAATTGTCGTTAAGTCCCAGCTTCTTCGTGGCACTTGGAAAGCTGCCACACTGGTCGCGCATAACACCATACTTACCACATCCATTTGTCAAGCCGCCTTCTGTACAACACCTACCAGTTCATAGGAGTATAATTTTTGGTGAGCAACAGCTCATAGGTCAGCGTATATTCCACGTCCAGTGATGCCCACCATCTCCGCAGAATGTCTATTATCTGCAAGTAATTATTTTGGTATACATTTCATCATCACAGCATAAGAACTGAAGTACACTACCGCCATTATCAATCTTAAAAGTGGGCTTATCTGGCTATTAGGGAGAGCAGACGTGTGCTATGCCATCTTAGCGGCTGCTTTAGTGAGTAATTTTCACCTTCTGGTGCGCATCAGCTGTTTCGAGTGGGAGGAAAGGATTACGGGTCTATCAATGAATGAAATTCTATCGGATGCTGCGGCCCTGAACCTCACTTTCGTCAAGCCACCTGCGTCGCCGTATACATATTTTCTCAATGAGTTCTCAGAAATATAGGATGAGATATAGATAAGATAAGATATTGATAAGAGCATTGTCTTGCACACAGTTACGCATGATATTGTTACCACAGGCCCGCCTATTTGGTGCCGTCCGCATCAGTACGGTCCCCATAAACATCGAGTTCGACACAATGACTTTGGGCAGATGGTGAAACTAAAAATATGTTGTTAGTGATCAAGTTTGTGGTTGTGGGTGTTTCGCATGGTATAAAAGAAAAACAAAAAGTGGAAGTCCTGTGTCGATTATCATGCACTAGATGCGGTCACCATTTTTGATCGGTGTTAACCACGAAACATTCGAGATCACACCATGTTTTTAAACGGCACAGCAGTACACTTCCATATTAACGTTGTCAAAGCTTATCACCAGATCATCTATTTAAAAGAGCTATAACTATTCCTTGAACTTCTTTAGAGTGTTTAAGCATCCCTTTCGATTGACGTGACATAGCTCACACATTGCATCTTCTTATAGACGAAATCGCAAGGGGCTTGTTCTTTTGGCTCACCCACATAGGTCATATTAGCGCTTTCAAGAACGACTACGGAACAACAGGAGCTTTTGTAAGACTTTTTTTAGGCATGACAGCAATGGTAATAAATGCCAGGGGGAGTACGAGATCAATGAAGACTATACGGTGCGTTTGCAGCGTAAACATCAACATCAACTGTTACTAATATAATTCATCGCTGGTTTATGCATTAGTGCGTGGGCTCTTACAAGCTTCTTTTTCTGAAAGGAGCATCCCTACAAATTTCGAACCAGTACTGTCGGATAGGAGCTCCTCACTAGTCAATTAGTAGTCAAACATTTTATGCATTTCCTGAAAGACCGACAAAGCGTCATTCTTGCAGATCACAAACAATATGTTCTGGTTTTGCATTCCTTGAGTTTCAGCCATGCATTTAGAGAACTCTAGCGTCTTGCTTCCATTGGCTGTTTATAACAGTCACATGTTACGGAAATGGTGGTGTTCACAGTGCAGCTGATGGTCCTCGCCGTTTTAACATCAGCGTCATAAGTGTTATGCACCTTTCCTTGTAGTCGCTCACCATGCCACGAGCTTCTGACGCCCAGGTTTCAGGCCTTTAGTCTTCTACAACCTATCACTTGGAGACAGTTGATGTTCTATAACGAGTTCCCGCTCTGGTACTAGGTCTTGCCTAGGTGTACTCGTGTAAGTGTTCCTCATTATCTTTGTCATGCTTTTTTTACTACACTGCATTCACGTTGCTATTCTAGCGTACGTAGCAGAGTAAGTTGATACTTATCGTATCGGCTAGTATACGACTTTCAACTAAAAAAGGAGCTGAAATAACGTCAGTATGATTGTACTTGCTGTTGTCTCTGTCACTAAATTGAAAAAAAAAAGAAATAGCTGGAATGTTCTTTCGAAATAGGTTTGTTCTTTTTTGCTGGAAAAATTCTTAATATGTGAAAATTCTACAAGTTTTCTAGAAGTTATTAGTAAAATATGCATTGAAATTGTCTCATGTTGCCGCAGCCAGGACCCTTTCACTGGTTGTCCCCAGTGTAACGCAATTTTCTTTTGCGAAATAGCAAAAATAGTTTAGTCCAGACATGTCTTATTTACGAAACGCGGAAGTTGTCATAGAGTTCACCATAGATTTTAAAAGTGGTATTAGCACCTTCATAAACGAATCAGCAAATCTTTTTGACCCCTCTCGTAGGACGTCGGTATTTTAACGACACCTCTATTCCTAACTGTCAATTCTGAATGGAGCCCTCAATCATTTACGCTGACATTTCTGAGCACCACGGCATTGATCATTGATAAACAACGTCAGCACACTTTTGGAAATGTTCGATTGTATCCTGCCTTCGGAAAAAAAAAGACGAAACCTCTTCGATGCTGCTTTTGTTTTCGCTTGGTGACCTTCTATTATCTGGTTTATTTATCAAACTTCTAGGCGGCAACATATAAATGCTGTGCATTTGTCTCCATCTCTACTGTGCGACTGATCATCAGGTGAAAGCTCTCTCAATCAGCGCTATGGTTTTCAAGGCTTTTATCACTGTCTTAGCCGCTGTGTATGGTGAGTTATGTTTATTATAATTGCAGAAATGACATACTTGAACAGACGCATAAAAGTGCAATGTTACATACATCTTACAAGTGAAGAAATTGAGTTACTATAGGTTACTTCAAGCAGAAAAAATCTTCAATAATAAATCAGTCTATCTACTTCTGGCAGCACTAAGGATCAATCAGTGAATATGAGTAGGGACTTTGGGCCTTCCAAGCGCGTAGCCAAAACAGGAATATTGCCCAGGGTACGGTGGAGTTCATGCTTCGAGCTGATTTGTATTGTATCATGCTAGTTTCATTGACGGAAGTAGCATTCGGTGTGTGTGGTGGCGGTCTGTGCCAGCGATGAATGAACGACTGGACAACTTGAGTGCCCATTGAAACAAAAGCCTCCTTGTTCCTACTTGCGCATGCTTATATACTTAAAACTACTGGCGCCACCTGTGGCAGTGATAGCGCAACCGAAACCAAATATGCAACACAATCCCTCAGCTATATGGATTATTGATTTATTTGGCTAGTATGTTAGCACATAAGCAAAAACACTATACAAAAATACAAAGTGTACAATGAACGTAACTATTTTAGTACTACAAAATCACATAATTTACAAAAGGAATTCACCACACTGGATACGTCCGTTTCAATCGATTTAGCACAACTTCTCCCGCTACACCTTGTAGCCATAACGCTCTGGTGGTAGTCTCCTTCGTGGTGGTTGCACCCATCATTGCTGTGTGACTGCTCCTGGAGACTCTGCTGACTGCATCACACCAGGCGACCTGTGCGCCTGCGCAGCCAAGGGGACGTGGGTGGTGCCTGTTCAGCGTACGCAGAAGGACTGCGTGCCTGCGCAGCGTACGCAGGAGACGTGGGTGCCTTCGCAGCCGAAGGAGCAGCAGCTGAACTCGTAGTTCAGCTGCTGCGTAGAACTGGGGTGGGTCCCCCGCATGTAGGCAGAGATCCTCCTCCCCTAGCTGCACCATTTCCTCCCCACGTATAAAGGGCGGCAGAGGCTCGTGGCACCTTTGAGAACTTGGTTGCATTCCACCTTTTGCCGTCAGCCAGGTAGAAAGAAGACGGTTCCTTTCTGCTGGTCACTTCTCTTGGGCAGCTGAATTTCATGTCGCCTTTAAATCTAGTAGCGGGTTTCTTCACTCTGACGAAGTCACCAACGTGAACTCTGGTTTCTCATGCAGCCCTCCAAGCGTGCGTGTATTGTTTGCTGCTCTGTTGCTTTTGCTTTACCCATTCACGCAAACACTGGAGTTCCGAGTTAGGGTCAACAAAGAAGGTTAACAACGGATGCCCGACGACATCCAACCGACTTCTTGGCAGCCACTCGTGTACCAGAAGAGCTGAAGCCCTTGCCATTGTAGCTTGCGGTGTGCATCAGTTAACACCCATGTGCTCTGTTACCGCCTGGCGCAAGGGTCACTGCTCAAGAAGCGCCACTTGCATGAAGCTTTTTAATACTCTGTTAAAGCACTCCACTTGGCCATTTGCTTGTGAATAGTATACTGACAAATGTTTGACCTGGAAGCCGCGATCTTGAATAAGTGCCTCCAACTCCCTAGATACAAACTGTGGACTGTTATCGCAAATAACCTCTTCTGGGAAGCCTTCGCGCGTGAACACAGAGACTAAGAAGCGTATTACGGTGCTGGTTGTCAACTCCCTGCAGAAATTCACTTCGGGCCATTTGGAATATTAATCTACAAGCGTGTTTGCATATCTGCAATTGTAGGGTACCCTCTCAAATGGGCCTACAATATCCATGCCTAGTTTGAGCCACGGCTGCTCTGGAAAGGGGGCCGGTTGCAAGGGTGTAGCTCGTTCCTTGACGCTCTTGTCTGCTTCCTGGCATATGCTACACATCTGGATAGCTAGCTCGACTTCGCGGTCCATGCCTGGCCACCAATAATTTTCTCGCAGCCGCACTTTTGTTCCCACCACTCTGAGATGCGACTCAGGTGCTGTAGCGATTACCTGCTGCGTGAGGGCCGTGGGGACCACAAGCCGTTCGCCACGCTAGATCAGACTGTCTGCCACACAAAGTTTGCCACGTACTTTGAAGAATGGCTGAAGCTCGGGCGATAACAATTTGTGTGCAGGCCACGACGATTGCACATATATTTTGCTTTGTTGCAGTGCGCTATCTTGCAATTAGGACTGCTCAAACTGTTCTCTGGTAATGCAGGAAGGAATTTCGAGAACTGACACAACCTCGTCAAACAGCGTTTCTTCTTCCTGGAAAGACAACGTGTGCAGGCGTCGGAGTGCACCCACCAGTTGGTTTTGCGACCCCTTGCGGTACTTGACGGTATAGTTTTACCGTAGTAGGTGCTCTGTCCATCGCTCTACCCGCGAGGGGCGCCTTCCTGTTCGTTGGGTTGAAAGCGATGCCACCAAGGCTTGATGATCAGTGAGCAACGTGAAGTGACGTCCCCACAAGCACACGTGCCATTGCTCGCACACCCAAACACAGGCCAACGCTTTCCGTTATCCTACCGAGTATTTCCTCTCAGCTGGCGAAAGAACTCGAGACGCGAATGCGACAGTGTGCAGTATATGTCCGTCCACCTGCTGTAAGACTGCTCTAACTTGACACACTCATGCGTCCGTCGACACTAAGACTGGAAGAGATTCATCGAACATTCTCAGTATAGAGCTAGATGCCAGAACGTGTTTGGTCTTTCTGAAGCTAGCGTCTATCTCGTCAGACCAAACGAATCGCTGCCCCTTTCTTAGCAGGACACGCTTTCGTTCAACCACGTCAGCGAAATCGGGAGTAAACCTAGAATAATATTCGACCAATCCCAGAAATGATCGAAGGCTGGCTGGATCCGTAGGCACTGGAGTGCTTCAGATGGAAGCAACCTTTTCCTTCAACGGCACAATCCTGTTTGCGGTCATCCTGTGGCCCAAAAACGCAAGCTCTGGCGTATCGATGACGCATTTCGTGTTCAATTTGAGTCCTCCCTGTTTTATGCACCTCAGCACTGCGGTAAGATTCGCCATGTGCTCCTCTCTGCCCTTCCTAAACACAATGATGTCATCAATACACAATGATGTCATCGATATAAAACAGGAAGCCGCTGCAGCCCTGCAGAATTTTTGACATCATACTCTGAAAAGCAGATGCTGCTGACGTGAGCCTAAAACACACGCGCTTGAAACGAAAGAGGCCATCGTGTGTTATAAAAGCCTATCGCGGCTCTCGGGGTGAAGCATGACTTGATGGTAAGCTGATGCAACGTCAAGCTTGGAAAAGTGGGTTGCCCCCACTAGACTATGCAATAGCTCTTATGTATGAGGGAGGGGAAAGCTATCTGCTACGAGGGCTTTGTTTACCTGTTGAAGATCTACACAAAGGCGGATACCTCCATCTTTATTTTCAACCACAACAATGGGGGACACCCACTAAGATGCCTCTATTCGCTCTATCTCGTCCATTTTTTCCAAGCAGCGCAGTTCTTCGGAGACTTGTGGCCGCGGTGAGAGCTGAACGTGCCTATGTTTTGAAGCAACTGGCTGAACGGTCGATCGTGTTTTGACGCGACGAACAAAAGCCTTTGCGACGCCAAGTCCTGGATTGAAAATGGCACCATACTCTTCGACTAATTCTGATGGAAGGTGAATGGACTCCATCGCCTCTGTCTTCACTGCGGTGTCTCCGTTTAAGCGCCAGTACGCACCGCTGTCGTTTCAAGGCACTGTAGTGACGACCCATCAATCTGCAGACTGAGCGCCCTAATTGCATCAATACCCAAAAGCGAGGTGCTTTTTTCAATGACATAAAAAGGAGCATTGTACGTGACATCAGCAAAGAAGCAACCGCACACTGCAATGGGTTTCTTCGAATAATTCAGTTGTATGATTCGAACAGCTGAAAGCAGCTGACGTTCAAAATGCTGCCTAATTAGGTCATGAGTCAAAATCGATACTGATGATCTTGAACCCACTTCGTTTCACCGACTGATACCGATATGTAGATTGCGGGACGAGAGGATGTCGTCACGTAAGAAGGCTCAATACTTCTTCAGTTATCGAACTCTTGTCGTCTAGTTCGCGAACAGGGGTGGCATTTCTGTTGCATACCGAGAGAAAATGACCAATAATACTGCAACCATGACACCGCTTGTTTTTGGCGGGGCAGCAGAATGAAGCTTCGTTGTGCCGAGGTGAACAGCTGTGGTAACACTGGCCCTGTTGGCTGCGGAACCGCTTCGAGGAGTCGCCGGAAAAAGATGCGGGCAGAAGGGTGTTTCCACGAGCATTTATGCTCTAGACAACTGCAGTAGCAAATTCTTTGCAATCATTGGTTGCCAGCTTAAACTGCGTCGCTATTAGTACAGCTCGAGCGAACGAAAGGCCCTTGAAGCAGCAACAGCTCGCGCAACTTCCGAGATGATACGCCCGCAACGAACTGGTCACGCAAGAAATCTTCCTGAGGAGGAAGAAAGCACGTAGCAGAAAGCTCACGCAAACGGTAATGTACTCATTGATTGCTTCACCGACTTGCTGCACGCGCCAACTGAACCAGTGCCGTTCGACCACAACATTGATTGTTGTCGTCAAGTGCACATGCAGCGCTGCGACAGTGGTATCGTACGAGTACGCCTCACGCTGTGTCTGAGAAGTGTCTTTGACAGCTCCCGAATCCGTATCAGTAGTTGGCTCACCGGACATTGCGTTGGCCGAAGATTAAAGCGGTGGTGTGTGAAATATGCGCTGGCCTTCTACGCCGAGTCTGTGGATTAGGAGAGCCTTGCGACGGTCTGGTGCACAGTCCAAAACACCAGATGCGAGCAGAAAATTCTCGAAGATGCGGATCCATTGCGGCCAGGGCAACAGCACGGCGGGCAGGCGTGGGCAGGAACGGGGGTGGTGGTGCCAGTCCGGAAACACTCATGGCGCGGGAATCAGTCGGCGAAAATGACAAAAATCAAACCCCCTCCTAAACGAGCATTCTCATCGCCAATGTAGTGGTGGCGTGTGCCGCCG